ACCCAAATGCATTTTTTGTCTTGGAAAAATAATCCCCAGGCCTCAGACTGGAGGGGAAAAAAATCCATGTTGGTTTCCTGGGCAATTTCTCTGTTTTTGTAACTGGTTTCTATTAATGGTTTTGAGATGAATCCCAGGAATCTGCAGCGGACTGCATTCCAGCAGAAGGGGGTGTTTAAATATTGTGCCATGCTAGACCAAGCTGTAGAGATGCCTGATGGCAAAGGATGCAGACAGAGCTCTCTGACCTGTACAAGGACAGTGCTGGAGGAGCACCGAAACACTCATGCACAGTATTGATGGAGTCAGTAGGAGAGCAGCCTGCTTGTGTGCTCCAGTTTAACTCCTTTGTGCATGTCTGAGTCTCTCCTAGGCAAGCTGCAAAGCTCAGTGCATTAAGCAGAAGATCAAAACAATCTTAAGCTTCCACCTAAATACCTGGACATTCACATTAATCGATTTATGCTCCAGTGCCTTTGGCACAAAGGGAAGCAGAGTTTTCCAGCTGGAGAGCCAAGACAGGAAGAGCTGAATTGCCTGCAAAGGACAGCCCCCAGATAGCACTGTTCCTGGGCAGGCCTCTCATTCTGTTTCAGAAGTGCTTGGGTATAGCAGAGCTCAGACCATGGCAGTCACTACCTCTGGGGGGTGGGTTTGGGGACTTCACCTTTCTCTTTGCTGGAAACAGATTATGCCAGGGGTATTATTAACTCTTTCCATCATATTGCTTTATACATACCTAGTGTAAATGGTGCCGGGGATGTGCCATTCTCATACACTGCATGTGGATATTTTCCTTAGCTGCTGCTTTGATGACTGTATCCCAGGCTGGTGATCACAGTGGACTCCAATGAAGTAAAGCAGAAAAACCTCTGGCCAGACCCCCAAGTTGTCATTCTGAGTTTGTTCTTCAGAAAAGGCACAGTAGGGGCTTTAGCACTTAGGGGGAGGGAACAAATGTAATGCTGGGTCTGAAAGAGGGACAGGGCTTGTTACATCGCTGGGATAATGACAGGCTTCACTTCACAGCCCTGTCATTGTGGTTGGGTCTCAGATTTGTCCTTTTAGTTCACAGCTCTTGCTGCAAGTTGGATTATTTCAGCCTTGCTTCTGGGATTCATTGCAGCTGAAAGCTTTATTGTAATGAGAAAAGCTTTGCAACCAAATGAAGCCACCCGGGAAGCACATACCCTCCGGTGATCCTCATGGTTCTCTGTGACATTGCTCTTTTCCACCAGCTCTGAAGGCTCCCCTGATCCACACTAGGTCTTTCTTAGGGGGAGTGGATATGGGGCATGTTCATCCCTTTGTGTGTTACAGGTTGATCACTTGGCACAAAAAGGGTTATTTGAGTATATAGATAAATGGTATCGGTATCCATCAACCCTGATGTGCAGTACCCCTCTTGTTGTTCCCATGCAAAGCTCTGTTTCTGCTTGTGGTTTAGCTTTGTAGGATCCTTGCTCCCTTTGCTACTGACCTGTCAATTAGAACTCTTTATTCCCAAGCTGTAGCATTCCCTATTACTTTTTCAGTTCTAGGCGTTATCCTTGCTTCTGCTCATGGGTAGATGTGTTTTCTCCTTTGATCATGGCAGAGTATTATGGGTCCTGTATTTAAAGAGGATCCGAAGGAGCTGTTGGTAACAAGCATGGAGTGCTGACAAGTCCTGTCCATAAGGCCTTGTGCTGTGATTTGTGTCTTTGTGTCAACAGAACATTAATCCTGGCATTCCTTTTTAATACATTCCATACATTTAGAGCTCTGAAAATGGGACAGCAGTGGCCAATTCCACTACAGCTTCCCAGGGTTAATAGCTCTTAAAAAGGCAATAGAGGGGTGGAGGATACCTCTTGGCATCAGACCTTCTTCCTAATCTCATACTTGCTTAGTGTTTCTCTACTGGTGGATTTCAGATCAGATTCATAGGAGGCAGCCTGTGGCCATGGAAAACAAAAGTGTTAACATGGAAGGGATTGGGAAGAGGAAACTTCCTGGCTGACATGGCTTGCCCGTTATTGTTTACTGCAAGGCAAGCAATATTGTGACCCTGTGCTGTCTTTGGGCAGGGATGTTTTTCCACCTGGGTCACCAGCATTTCGTATCTGAAATAGATAAGAAATAGCTATTATATGAAATAGCTATTTCCTATCACTGTTTATTTCATATCTTAAACAGGGGTGCCTGGAAACACAGGGGCCTTTCTTCTCCCTGTTAGCCTGCTCTGTGCTGGGCTTGGCAGGTGCAGAGCCCTGGGAAGCAGAACCACTTGGTTGATGCTGGAAGGTTCCCTCTCATTGCATGGATGAGGCTGCTTCCTTTGGACAGGAGCTGTGGTCAGGGTGCACAGCTGTATGTGCCGCAGCGGGCAGCTGAGAATCCATCCCCAGAGTACCTCAGGGAGTGAGGAAGGAGGAGGGCTGGGGAATGCTGCCCAGCTCTGCCTCTATGGAGAGCCTGGTTAGAAATCCAGCTCCTGATGGGGCAGTGTTGACACAGCTGCCTGTGCAGGGGCTTTTGGACTAGCAAAGCTCTGGAATACAACGCTGAGTAGAGACTGCAGGTTTAGAGTGAGGAAAAGGCAGAGAGCAGTGTGAGAGCCTCCTGTGTCCCTTCCCTCCTCTCCCTCTGAACCCCGAGAAGCTCTTTGCTCAGTGCATGGTTTTCTTTAGGAGCCTTCAGTGGGTTCGGCCTCAACTTGGCTTCTTTCAGTCAGGAAATAGCCAATTCATGACAGCAGCAACCACAGCAATCTGCATCCATCCCAGAAGTCATGCGAGAAGCAGGCTGTAACCTCTGCAGTGCCAAAGCTGGGAGGCAGAAAGGTGGGAAAGCAACCTGGAATTGCAGCCTGGAAGGTTCTGCTTGTGGCTGAGAGAAACCAAGGGCAGGAGAGGGTGCTGGGTCTGCTGCCTGTGCAGTGAGAATAGCTTCTTGCCCACAAGCCAAGCGTTTTCCAGCCTCTGCTGACGCAGCTGAACGAAAGCCTGTCAGATTGAAGCCTTTCCTCTGGCCCCATGGCCTGACAGAGAGCAAAGGCTCCTTTTGCCACCAGCCTTGTGGCTCAGCACCAGCCCAGCCCCTCAGCTGCTGTGGGTCATATTGTCTGCCTTGTGATGGCTGAGAATCTGCAGCAGGTTTGCAATTGAGGAACATAGGAGGAGCCTTTGCTGCACGCAGGTGTCTGTGGAATTGGGTCAATGCAGATACCTGAGGCTTGCAAAGACAAGCCTATGGTTTGCATTAGGGTTATAATTGGACTGTATCTGTTCTGTACAAAGTGGAGACCTGCTGGAGCTGACAGCAGGCTTTTGAATGGACACGTTGTTTAATAATAGCTCCAGTGGTTTCTTGGAATTTCTTAGGAAGTGTCTGGTTCTGTCTGCTGTTAACCATGAACAACCATAATCTCACAACAGCAAGCAGAAAGCTTTCCCATATTTCATTTTGTACCATGTACTGCCCGCAGCTACAGTGGTAGGTGCTAGTTCCTGACATTACACTCATGCAATCTTCCTGCAAGTCTTGTATTAAAAGACCTCTGGCTGGTTCAGCCACCCACATGGATTAGGCTGTTAGGCCTACACAAGGCTGGATTCAGATGGAGCCGTATTCCAAGTCTAAAGCGACATTTGCACCTTTCATACCCGTGTCTGAAAGCACTTGGACTGCTCTGACTCAGTGTCTTTTACCATCTTGTCCCACTTGAAATAGACTTTTCCAGTGGAAATGAATTGCTGTTTTCAGAACTTGGATTATGGGGAAGAGAAATGTCTTAATGCTTCTAGGCAGCAGAGGAGATAAACCAGTTCTAAATGGTTTATCAGCCTAAGGCTGCTGCCCTCTAGGTTAGGCTGAGGTTTCACCTGTTCCAGTTGAGCATACACACACAGGGGTAGATTTTCACTTGTGAAGCAGTGTTTGGCATTTAGGAACTTGCTGCTGCTTTCTCTGCTGTTTGGCATGGACTGTTTTCAGTAACTGACTGCATTAACGCCCCTAATCATAGTGGAACACAGTGCACTGGGTTATATAAACACAGTTAAACACATCAGTTCAGGCCTTAGGAGCTGGGAGATGTAATTTAACAAGTATTCCCCTTGAGCAAAGAGTGCTGAAGATTCACTTGTTGCTGGCTTGGCACTGCTATGGGGGCTGCTATTATGAGTACACAAAGGAGAAGAGCAGCAGTGTGTCAGGTCCTGCCTCTTTGTCTTAGTGCCAGCCAAGTAACTACAAGCAGAGTTCAGTTCTTGTGTGAAGGCCTAAAAGCAAAAGTTCTAAGTCTGACCCAGCTGTGGTAGAGAAACTTGGGCCCCCCATTGCAGTATTCTGGGGCTTTTAGTTGCATTCTAGGCCCTTTTGCCTGCACTGCTTTAAGCTCCCACATACCCAGTCTCTGGCATTATTACCCTTGTGCTGAGAAAGCTGCTATTAAACCCTTGCTTACAAATCACAGGACAGCGTATTGTTTTCCAGGTTGTCTTTGGTGACTCGAGCTTGAAGTAAAACCATATGAGGAGGCAGAGATCAAAAACTGAAGGCAGCAGAATCAATCCAGTCTCAGGCAGACAGCTGGAGGAGTGTCAAACAAAGGAAGGAACAGCTGGATCAAGTAAAGCACAAGGAAAACGAGCTCCATCCCTAAGGGGGAGGGAGAGAGATTGTTTTGCAAGCCCAGAGTTGTGTGGGACCAGCTCTACCCCATCAGACTGCACATCAAAGCCAGGGGCAGATCAGAAGGGCCCAGAGGGAGGGGAAAGAGCAGAGTGGGTGCTTGTAGGAACTGTGTAGAGCGAGTTGGGGAAAGGAAGGAGGTGGAGCGGGAGAGTGGAGCGGGGAGGTGGGGAGCTGGAAGTTGGAGGTGGAGTAAGTGCCGAATATGAGCTGCTGTCCCCAGCTCCGGGATGGGAGCTGGTGAGGTCACGGGGTTTTCAGTTCCCAAACAAAAAAGTTAGGGGGGGGGGAGGAAAAAAGAAGCCTTCAACTTGTTTTTCCAGTGAGACGGAAACACGGAGTCGCTGCGGGAGCGATGGAGCAGCTCGCAAAACTCCTCCTGTGGCAGATAGTGCTTCAGCAAAGTAAGCTCCTGGTGCTGGCGTGATGGGCTGGGGGCTGAACTGGTGTCTTTGGAAGGGTTTGTTCAGGTTTAGGAGGAGGGAATCATGGATTTGTCATGGAAAAGTGGGAACGGGGAGAGAATGGAGAACTGTTGAGGGTTTGAATATACTCCAGCATGTTTGTGCAGTCTCTTTTTTCCTATCAGTTACTTGATCAGCAGACTCTAAAATACTGAGCTTGAATGTGGCTACAGTAAAGCTTCTGTAGCAAGATTCCCATGATCCAAGGTTATTTTATACTTTTGAAGAGGCAGAACCAGCTGATGTTTGTGTGAGTGTTTGGGATGGAGGGGAAGAATGGAATGTGGGGGTTTCTGTTTGGTTTGGGTTTGGTTTTGTGGTCAGCATCACGTTAGAGACAGAGAAATTCACTTTTGGGTAAGGTGCAAGAAGGGGCTGAGAGCTCACAGGAACAGAATGGCTTCTACCTGTTCCTTAATCACAGAGTTTTCTGTAGGAGCTGAAACAAGATTCAGTGTGCTGAGAGCATCCCCTCGAGCTAAACAGAGAAAGCCCAGGAAGGCTTGGATGGCAGAAGGTTTGGGGATTAATGCAGACCTCCACCAAATCCACGCTTTGGGCTCTAAGGAAGCACCTCTGAGCAAAGGACCAGTTCCAGCTCCCAAGAACTGATGGTAGGAAGCAAGGAGCACTGGTGACCCCCTGCTCTTCCCAGCCTTGCTAATGGAAGGCTGAGGCTGAACCACCTGAGCCTCTCAGCATTCCTCAGCAGGCAGATGGAGGGAGCTGGAGAGTTCTCACTTTGGTCCCTAATTAGATTCCATGTCACCACATCATCCCCGGTTTTGCAATGCCTCAAGGCAAGGTTTAGCAATTTGCAACGTGTGGGATCAGTCCTAGGGACAGAAGGGTTAAAGTGGCTCGGAAAACCAGTGCATGGGGCTGGGTTAAGCCTGGAGGAGGGGGAGAGGCCATATATTGGATTTCAGAGGCACCAACCAGTCCAGCTGCTCCCCAGTGTGGTTTAGCACGTTGGCGGTGCTTGGGGAGCGCTCAGGGCAGGAAGAGCAGGTTGGGTTGCTGTAGAGCAGTGGGGAAGCTGCATAGAGCCAACAGCATCCCACCCAGGGATGGGTGATCGCTGACAGGCTCTTTTGAGGTGTATTTTAGATGGAAGGCAGTCTGTATGCCAGGCAGCCCTGATGTTTGAGTGCTGCTGTCCCCATACAAGCCAGGTTAGAACATCATGAGTGGATAGAAAGAGGGGAGAAGGGATGAAATCGGTGCTGTTTCATATTTGATCCTTTCTGGAGAGAAACCACACCCTCAAGTGTTAATGTCTTGCAGGGAGGAACAGCACTGTGTTTGGAATGGCTCTGCAAACTAGGCTGTGGGCCTAGAGCCAGCATGGAGTACACAAAGCAGAGAAGGGCTTATAAATCTCAGCTAATATCTGAAGTGGCTGTGAGAAAGTTGGGGCAAAGCTGTGAGGATCCTGGTGGTGCAGTGGCCAAGATGGAGATCAGTTTCTTGTCCAGGCAGTAGGCTTCCTTTCTGCTGAGGTAGCACATTCTTGCTTTCTGCCAATTCATGAGCATGTTCCTACCTGCAGTGAGGTGTTGGAAGTGTGGGGATTGGATGGGTAGTTAAGGGCTCTCCAGTCCTGACATCCTCTATGGAAGCAGAAGACTCTGCTGCTGGGAAAGCTGTTCAGGAAGCCTTTAAAACTAAACAGAGACTTGGATCAAAGCCCAGTTTAAAGGCTGGCTTTGTAAGGGAAACCTTGGCTGGAAAGCTTGGTCTTGCAGTCCTAGCCCAGCAGGACTGGTGGGGAGTGGGACATGTCTAGGTGGAACTGCACTGCTTCCCACCTCCCTCCTTTGCCTCTTTGAGGTGGGCCCAGATGTTAGTCCTGGTTACTGGTCAGTGGGGCTTAAAGACACGGCAATGAGAGGAGAGCTGAGCCCATTTGTGTCGCTGTCACCTTGATGTCACTGCATCCTGAGCCATTATGGCCCCTTAGATGAGGGGTCAGCTCCCTGAGGAGCCAGCATGGAGCCACTGCCACTCTCCAGAAGTGTTTGGAAATAGCTTGGTAGCACAAACTGCTGGTTTTGCAATAACTGTGATGGCTCTACAGAGACCATTAAATCCCCTGCATAAACCTCCCATGGGATTTATGGGAAAACTAAGGAATCTGACACAGATTTTGTGAAAAACATGTCATTTCTCTAGGATTGACCCATCCCTCTGTGCTCCTAATGTCAAATGATGTCTCTTCCTTTTTCAGGAGAGCAAAAGAAGCTGAGACCAGGAGATAGCAGAGAGGGTGTGCAAAGGAATAGGGAGCTGAGCTTCCTTAGGCAGGCAGTATCAGCCTCACAGACCTGGTGGGCTATGGCGCTCACTTCTCCAGTGGCTCCATTGTTTCCTTTCCTGCTCTTCGCTACAGTCTGTGTTCAGGTGGTGCCTATTGCCTCTCAAGGCTCAGTCCAGGCAGCTTCTCCTTGCTCTGCTGATATCAGGGGCAAGGATCATCCTAAGCTCAGCAGAAGCACGGCAGGTAGAGCTGGTGCTGTCATGTCCCATGCAGTGTGCGTGGCACTCAGGCAAGTACTTCTGGTGTCTGCAGTTTCCTTTTCTGCTCTGGTAGGCTTTCACCCCCTGGTATGAGACAGGAACTTAGTGGTTTCATTAGCACATGCATCTACCTGTGAAGCAGGCTCTCTGCCAGCAGCTGTCTCCAGGAGAAGTGGTGGCATTGTTCAGGCAAGACTCAAGGGACAGTTTTGTGTTTGAGCTGTTCCAAGGATGCTGCCTGGAGAGCTCGGATATGTCAGATATCTTGCAGAGCCTGAGGCTTTCCCTTCTAGTTTGCCTGCAGTTTTTTGTGGCTTAATTCTTCACTTGAAAAGTGGATGGGATTCAAGAAGTACGAGCTGGCTCTGCCTTTTACAAGGGATTAGGAAATGCTTTTGCAAGCTGCTTTCCTCTTCCTACATTGTGGAACCAGCAGAACGCGTCTGGGATCCCGCTGAGGGGTGTGCTGAGTGCACAGAGCATGTCAGAGCACAGCATCTAGATGTCTTTTTGTGGGTACATCACCCAGAGAGGACAAAGTGATTATGCAGAGCTCCAGGGAGTTCCGTGGTGGTGACTCTTAAGGCATTTGGTGGTTTTGAAGCTCCAGGTCCTGGAATCCTGTGATTGCAAAACTGAGCTTTCACTTGGTTTTGCAGTTGCAGGTGACTCACCAGAGCAACTGCTTCCAGTTTCCCCCAGTCCCGTAGTTCATAAGCTGTGAACTTTGCTGGGTTATGGATATAACTCTGCCTTTGTTCTGTAGCTACTGGGTTAGACAAACAATAACTGTAGAAAGCATGGCTGGGGGACATGGCTTGTTTGCACTGCTTGTCTCACATAGCAGAGGAGACTGAAAAGGGAAAAAGGCTTATTCCTTCTTTACCCAGTGCTCAGGTTGTGGAAGGTCACTTGGTTTCAGTTGTGCTTTCTCCAGGCATAGAAGAGATCCGAGACATTCCAGATTCCTTAGATTTCTAAGTGATCTCATTTACAGCTATGTCAAATACATTTGAGTCTTATCCATGACCTGATGTATGTGGTGCAGATTGCCAGCGCTGCTGGGGGATTGGAACAGTCAGTTCTTCCTTCTTTGTCTTGTGGAGCTCCCATGCCTCTTGTAAGGACTTCTCAAAACAGCAATATGGTAAAATGCAGGCAAGGCATCAATGGACTCTTCCCTTTTCCCAGTGGGAAACAGCATCTCCTGGTCACTGAGGAGCAGACCTAGGAGTGTTAATTGTCAAGTAGGTGAGAGTGCTCCGGCCCTGCTGCTTAGGGAGGGAAAGAGAAGCTGTCAAAGCCCACAAGACACAAGCTTTTCTTATCTAGAAGCTGTCACATCAGACAGCTTCGCTGCTTCCTTGCTTTATAGGGAGTTGTGTTTGGGAGCTGCTGGAGAAATGCCTGTAACTGAGCCAGCCCAGCCTGGCTAAAAGCCCCTGTGGGTGGGATGGAGTTAGGACCTGGGTGGTCCTCACCATGCCAATGGGGCCAGCTAAAAGATACAGGCCCAGGGGTTAGTGCTGGTATGATGTTGGGGCTGTGACAGGCTGCTGAGCAGAGCACATTGCAAGGCTTAGGTGGATACTTTGGTCGTTAGATTTATGATGCTGCGTTTGGGCTTGGTGTTTTTTACATTAACTTCCAAGAGGAAAGGAGGAAAGTGAATGCATTCCTCTGCCCGAGCCAGGAGAGGATGTTTCTGTAGCACCAAATCAGTTGGCTGTTCATGAGCAGCAATGCAGGACTGTGGAAGCTGTGGCTGTGCAGCCAACAGCTCTCACACGCCACTCCCTAGCACACAACCACTGTGCATGTCCTGAGAACTGTGTTCTTCCCTTGTCACAGGGCAAACACCAACTCAGGCACATTTGTCACACCGATCCACGTGGATGCTGTGCTGAGAGCTGGTTGTCCTGTCGCAAGTGAGACTGATTTCTCCTGGAGAAGGGTGGTTTGGTGCTGTGAAAGAGCTTTGCATCATTCCTTCGCTGTTCTAAGCTAAATCCGAGTCCTGGCTTCCAGAGACAGAGGTTGGCAGCTGATATGTTACCATCAGGCATTTTGCAGCCTGTTAGGACAGGCCATCAGATGATGGAATTATAATGTCGTGTGTATGATGTCTCTTTCTTATATCCAGGACAGCACAGACTTTGTCCAAGATTTGTGTGTGTCATGCTGAGATTATAACTGTATTAAAAAGAACTTACATTAGGAGTGGCTTTGAACTGGCAGCTCAACAGTGCTGCTCAGTTTTGTTCTCTAGTGGCACTGCCCAGGGCTTTGTGATAGGAAAAGGAGAGCAAATGGGGTTTATTCTCAGCCCGTGCACTGGGGGTGGTTAAAAGAGCCCCAGTTTGGAGTGAATTTATTCTCTTTTGGAATTCCCAATTCCTGGGTTAAACAAGAAATGCAGCTTTTGTCCGGAGAACGTTGTGCCCATGACATTAGCAGGACAAAACATCTAATGATCTTGCTGGAACCCATTTGGGTTTGACTGCTTAGAGATGAACGATGTCATTGTGTTGGGAATCTGATCCGTGCCCTCAAAGCGTGATGCCAGGAGACCTCCTCACCCCCTCCTACACACAGAGCAGGAGGGACTGGACCAGAGAAGTGCAGAGACTAAGGCATGAGTTCAGTTTTTGCAGAGTTCTTCCTGCATAGATCTGAGTCACATGAGTTGGAGAGAGTTGCAGCTGCACCCAGAGCATGCCCCATCCCTGGCAGTGTTCAAGGCCAGGTTGGATGGGGCTTGGATCAAGCTGCTCTAGTGGAAGGTGTCCTGGCCCGTGGCAGGGGTTGGAACTGGAGGAGCTTTAAGGTCCCTTCCAACACAGACCAGTCTGGATTCTGTGATTGATAGAAGAGTCTCTGGGGAGGATGCTCCCAAATGATGGATGTGCTTGCCCCCCGTGAGTGTCATGTCATAGTGTGAAGCAAAACAGCCCAGTCATAGCACTCCTCATCTGACTGACTCAGCATACTCCAGAGTTACAGAATTCCCTCAATGCTTTAATCCCACCATCAGTTTTACAGGAGGTTGGTTTGGAGTCTTGGAGATGAAAGTTGACTTTTGGCCTTCGGTCACTACAGTGACTGCTGCAGCACGGACTGACCAAGGTCTGGGCCTCTGGACTTAACCACATTACACATGTTAAACAAGTGTATGAACAGAGAATAGGTGGAATAATAGCAGAGGAGGTTGCTGCTGTCTGTGAGCAGATTTGGAGTCTTTATTTGTTGTCAGTAACACTCTCTTTTCTGTTTTGACAGGTTCTGTTCATTTATACTCAGGTGAGTGATCTCTTTGTAACCTGCCTGGTTTTGTGATCATGAGAAGCAATGAAGGGGCTCTGATTCCATGGCATGCACTGGGGGTTTCAGTGCTAACTGCTTGGACCATATATCCCATGAACTGGTGTTTCTAAACCTCAATTAAACTGGGGGTGAACATTAGGAAGGATAGGTTGAATCTGCAATCCTGATAACACACATCATAGACATTGCTTTCACTAAATGAAATCAGTGTTTTTAAGTGGCTCTCTATTGTATTTCTCCATGAGAGAGCTCTGTATTGGTCTTGAAAGTTGCTTCCTTTTGGATGGAAGGTGTGCAGAGATTCTGGGACAGGTCTGGTGCCTTCTTCACATGCCATAAATCTGGTAACTCTGGTTTTTGCTCCCGGTTTTCAGTCCCAGCTGATGCCTCCAACCCCCAGGACAGTGTTGTAGTGTCAGTGCTGAACATCAGTGCTGCAGTGGGCTCTCAGGCTGTGCTGCCCTGCAAGAGCTACCGCATGGTGTGGACCCAGGATCGCCTCAACGACCGCCAGCGTGTGGTGCACTGGGATGTATACAGCAGCTACTATGGGGACAAGATGGAGAGGCTGTGTGACATGTACTCTGCTGGAGCTCAGCGAGTCTACAGCTCCTACAACCAGGGGAGGATATTCATGCCCCAGAATGCATTTACAGATGGCAACTTCTCCTTGGTGATCAAAGGTACTAAGCAGCATCTTTTCTCCTTGTACCTTCTGCAGAATGGAGGGATTAACTTGGTGTTTTCCAGTGAAAATGGCTATTTTACAGAGTATTTTCTATCAGTAAATAAATATCAGGTAATAAGGTACACGAGGTTATCTGAAGCACTGGTAACAGTGTTCTGTTTCCCTTTGAAACAGTCCCATTTTAAAAGAGAATTGATAACAACTCATTGCCTGTAAGTGACATGGTCTTCTTGTGGGCCTTTGTATTTCAGTTCCTGAACTTGAACAAAAGAATGTCATTCATCCTGTGCCTGCTCTTTGCTAAACTGAAATCAGCTTTCTCTTTCCATCTATTAATACAAGTATGTTAAACAGAAGAGCAAATAACCTGAACACAGTATTGTATTAGGGGAGGTGATTCTTCTCTGTTTACCCTACCCTGGCAATAAGGATGGGTTAGAACTAAGTTACATAAAGGTCCTTTTGCATCCATATGGGCATTTGGGAAACGGTGTAAATGACAAAAGTAATCATTGCCTAAGTATAGAACATTGAACTTCCCCTCTCTTCCCTGTTTTGTAGATGTTGCAGAGAGTGATGCAGGCACTTATTCTTGTAACCTTCACCATCACTACTGCCACTTATATGAAACTGTGAAAATCCGCCTAGATATCACCAAGAAAGGTAAGTGTGGTGGTCCTTTCTGCCAGGGACTGGCAACTTTGTTGGCATGTGCCAAACAGTGCCTGGAGCCTGGTGAGTTAAATGTATACTCTACATGTTTACTGCTCCAGCAGTGGAACATCCCCAGTAACAATCCATCATCAGTCAGCTTGGCCACAAAGATCTGCTGCGTGCATTGGTTGGTGAGCTTGCCCTGAGAAGCCTGTAGTTAAAAAGCCTCCTCAAGTTGCCACACCTTAACTCCAGCTCTAAGAACAAGTTTCTAAGGGCTGGTGGCAACTGCAGTGTGTGCCACCCGTGCATCACTGCCATGCCATTTAAATCTGTTGGTGCACAAGTGAACCTACTGGAGCTGATTGTGCTGGCAGCTGTAGAAATGCTGATGGGATGGTAGAGAAATGCATCTCTTCTGCTGTTTTCACAGTTTCTATGCAATAAAAGCAGTCAGACGGGGCCTGTGAGCCCCAGTCTGCTCATGTGTTTTGGTTCTTCTGTTATTCCTTGTCAAGAACAAAGTACTGAGCACTGCTTCTTGAACTCCTCCAGTAATTAGGGCATTTGTGGGTAGAGAAACATTTCCTGCATGGAGGATTGGGATGCAGCATACTGAAGATGAAATCTGTTATTGCTGTTCCCTTCTTAGCCTGCAGAGAGAATATACTTCCTGCTTTCTGAAGCAAGGGATTAACTTTGTTGTAAGGAAAAGAAGGTGGTCTTGCTTAATGCATTGACCTAGGATGTAGAGGATAAAGGTGTGTTTCTTTACTGACAAGGCACTTCCAGATCTTTGGAGGGGATGTCTTAGAGGATTGCAAGGTCTGGGAGCAATCTTAGGTGAGCCTGGGTGTCTTTAAGAGTAGGACAAGCATGTAAAGATGCGCACAGCAAGGTTGCACAGCTCGTGTTGTCTCCACAGCTGAAGATGCAAATGAGTACTGGGATGGGGAAATGCCAGTGATTGTTGCTCTGGAAGGCAGCACCGTGATGCTGCCCTGTGTGAACCACAACCACATCTGGACTGAGCGGCACAGCGAGGAGGAGCAGCAAGTGGTGCACTGGGACAGGCAGCCCCCGGGGGTTCCTCACGACCGGGCCGACCGCCTCATTGATCTCTATGCGTCTGGGGAGCGCCGCTCCTATGGGCCTCTCTTCATCCGCCAGAAGATGAACATCACTGACACAGCCTTTGCCCTGGGTGACTTTTCCCTGCGGATTTCAGAGCTGGAAAGCGCAGATGAAGGCACTTACTCCTGCCACCTGCACCATCACTACTGTGGCCTGCATGAGCGCAGGATCTACCAAGTCTTCGTGACCGAGCCGGTGAGAGAGAAGAAGGTGGTGAACCTCACAACTCACAACGTTGCCCCAGCCGTAGGTAAGTGGCCTCTGGAAGTGGTTCTGACTGAGGAGATAAGTATCTCAGTTGCACCTTTGAGCTCTAAAATGCTCAGTAAGCCACAGGAATAGAACACATCACTCCCCACCATCACCTCGGGAGGCCTTTGCTCCAAATGCCAAAGCATCCTTGCCTTTCCTGTCCACCACAGTGGTGTGCAGGGATCCCTCAGTGCCAGCAGCTGGGAGCGTTGTCAAGGCAAACCTGTGCCCTGCAGAAGTGCCATAGGCACCCCAGAAGTGAAGGTGCTGCTTAGAGCAGCACTGAGGCTTCCTTTATGAAGGTTTCTCACATTTGAGCAAGGGTTGTTCCTATCCCAGGATTAGAAGAGTAGGTGAGGTCTTGCTTCCCTCTCTACTAGTATATGGCTCTAGTATATTTGTCTTGGTTGTTTCTGAGCTGTGTCCATTGCTTTGGGAGCTGCATGTATAGGATACTAGCGAGGATCCTGTAGAGCTGCTTTAACACTGCTGCGCCAAAGTGGGTGTCAGGGTGTCACCCATCAGGGTTAATTAGCTGTAGTGCCAACATGTCCAGCTCCAGGGCAGCTCTGCAGCCTGTTCTGCTCTCTAACGCTGACATGCCCTAAGGCAAACAAGCTGTTTTTCTAACAGCCTCCCTTTCCTGGTTGCTTTTATGAAGGTGTGGGGCTGAGGGGCCCATTCTGCTTGCCTTTGCTGTTACTACATGGTGTAGATCACAGGTGTGGGTTGTTCCTCCCCCCTTTGCACAGGGTTTGGGCTGTGCAAGAGGCCAGACTGTGCAGAACTGAGCACCAGGAATTTTTCTTCTCCCTTCAGCTTTGCTTAAACCAATCTTCCCATTCTCCAGTGCAGTTGAGCTCTCATCTTTGAGCCTGGCCAAGCTGAAACCCATCAGGCTCAGTTCAGGCAGCAAAAAAGAAACCAAAGATCCCAAGTTCAATATTTAAGTCTTTTGGGTCTAATTTCTTATTACCATTTTGAAACATTCATTGTGGTTTAATATTTATTGACTGCTTCATAGAGAATTTTGACATGTTTAAATAGGTCTATTCTTCTGGAGCAGCTGGCTTTGTCAAGTCACAGAAACCTAAACCTGCCCCCTGGGACTGAGCTTGGTGTCCAGGAAAGCCAGGCAGTGCTGCAGGGATGCGATGCTGGGGCTGAGCTGACATGGGAACCAGGCCATACAAATACCATCCTCACTGCCTGCTGCCCTTGAGCCCTCTCCAGATCCCATTGTGCAGATGGAAACTAGATCTTGTGGTCCGAGTTGCCCACCCAGGAATTGATTCCTCCCTTTCCTGGCTGTTGTCCTGCCTGCTCTGAAGTTAGAACCTACCAGGTCTGTGTAAGCTTGGAGTAGTGCCCTTGGTGCAGGAGGAGCTTGGTCTTCATGAGAAAAGCCATTGCCACTGTCAGGAAGAACAGTCCTGGAGAGCTTTGTCCCCCGAGGGCAGTGAACCCTCAGCTGGTCTGGGAGCACCACACACAAGAATGTGCTGAGTCTATGGGAATGTGAAAGAAGCTGAGACATCCGGAGTGCCTGTTTCCAGCCCACTGCTGATGGGGAGCCTGCTGGGACATGTCCTGTTTGTGTATAGCAGAACAGGCTGAGGTGCTGCCCCGTTCCATGAAAGACCCTATAGAATGTGGGGATAGGACACGAAACCAGAATGAAACATCAGGAGATAAGAAAAGCAAACCAAAGAGCTTTTTGCAGCAAGCAGCTATAGTTTTTGGCCTATCTCCAAGGCCTGGAGCCATTTTCAGACAGGAAACTCCATCCTGTTTTGAATATAAGCATGAGTTCAGTTCTGCTCTCAGTCTCGGGGATCTAAATGTGGTGTGTGTCTACTAACTCAGTGCAGTTTTACTCTGCCTTTGCTTTGGAGCAAGTGATTGGAGAATGGCATCTGTTGTGTCTCATACCTATTGCTGAACTCAGTCCTTTATCAGTCTTGGGACACATACCCAGCATTTGGGAGCCCTCTTTCTGGAAAGCTCTTTACTTTTCCCAGCAGAAGAATCTAACCATCTAACCCTTTACACCTCAGTAATGTTCTTCCCCCTGTTAGAACTTCTTTTCCAGTAGTTAAACCATATCCCATGAGTGAATTAGAGACAGATGGACGTGCTGTGTTGAGATGTACTGATCAGATCATGCTTACAGAACAGGGTAAGGGGTGTCTATTGCCTTAGTTATGCTCTTCTAAGCACTGACAGAAAGTGGGAGCAACTCAGTGCCTCAGTTTCCCCAGTTAAAAAATGGGGTACATTCTCCTGCCTCCCTGGTGATGCCCATTGGTGATGCTCAGTGGGTGATGCCCATTGAAGTGCAGCAGCGATGCCTTGTCAGAACACTAGTACAACATGTATTTTTGCTATAACTTGATTGAGTAAGCCCAGGAGGCTCCAAGCTGTTGAATCTCTGTTTCCACTGTTTGTTGTTACAGTGACCTCTCCAATGTTGACTAAAGTTTAACTCAGCTCCATCCCTGTCTCACAGCATGGTGGGCAAAAGCCAGGGATAGAACGCATTTGTGTGTGCTGACTTCTGGCTTGATTGCTGCTCCAGTGGCTGCCATCTCATCATGGCAGCTGCTGAAGGAGATCCAGAGGTTTCCTAAAGCAGGGCTGTCACATGGACTGTTTGCAGCTTTGCAAGTGGGTTTGTTGGTTTGGGATGGTTTTAGCTTAGCAGTGGTGAAAAACACATGCCAGTTTCCAGCACTGCAGCCAGCAAGCACACAGCATCAAGCAATGCCAGTGTAAAGTGGAATATTACTGGAGTGGAAGGCTACCAGAGCAGAGCATATGCTAAATCCTCTCACTTCTCAAGGACTGGTGTTGCATTAGCAGCATCAGCTCTGGTTTCAAAGTATGTGTTTCAATCCACTATCATCTTACTTGAGTTATTGTCGGTGGGTTGGTGTTTTTAGAGGTTGGAGACAAACTGGAACCAGTTTGTCAGCATTCCTCACGTTAGGACACATCTGGTAAATGGCACTGTGGGTTTGGGGGTATTTCCCCCCATCTTTCCCCTTATTCCCTCTGACCAGTTTACAGGCTTGAACTCCCAAGGGAGTGGTAGAACTGCACACTGGTGCCTGCCTGGTGCTCTGTGGCTGGTCCCTGTTATGGGGTGAAGGTCTCCCATTCAGCTCTGTTCTGAAGAGCAAAGCTCCCAGCACAGGGGTTTGCCTGTGCCTGGGCTGGATTTGTCCATTCCTCTGCCTGCTGCAGGCAGAGCATTCGCTTCCTCTTTCTGTGTGTAAAACATTGACCTATTTATTTGAGATGTACAAAAATGTTCCACGTAAAGGGTTTTGAGTTACCCTTTCCTGCACTGCGGAACTGAAGCGCGGCTGCACCCGCAGATGGAATCTTGGCTTCTCTTTGGGGGGGTTTATTTATTTTATTGAGTTTTCTATTTTTTTTAATATAATTTTATTTCAAAGGAAACTCATTCTTTGGCATTGAAAATTCCTCCCACTCTGTAAATTATAACCCTTGGCAGGGAGGGGCTGCTTCATACTTCAGCTGTCTGGAGCCCAAGCAGCATGGTGTGTGTGTGTTGTGAGGGACCCAGAGGAGGGTTTCGTTACCCTGCAGAAAGACCTGGGGCTGTTTAATGTCACTTCTTGCTGGACTCACCCTCTACAATGAACAAGGACATGCTCATAGCCAGGCAGCAGGAAGGGAATGTGCAACAGTCACTGTATTTCATGCTCCTGGGAAGTAAAATGTTCCTGTGAAGAGCAGAGGCATCTTCCATCTGACAGAAGTGCAGTATGTTGTGAATTAGGCTGCTATTTGCCCTTTGCTTCATGCTATTCACTGAACATGCTTTTCAGCTCCTTCAGGGTCACTACAGGGCCTGTACTGACAGGTCAAGGGGGAATGGCTTTAACCTGCCAGAGGGGAGATTGAGCTGAGCTCTTAGGCAGAAGCTCTTCCCTGTGAGGGTGTTGAGGCGCTGGTACAGGGTGCTCAGAGAAGCTGTGGCTGCCCCATCCCTGGCAGTGTTCCAGTGTTCCCTTCCCATCCAAACCACTGTAGGATTTGGGCCCCTGTATGGGCTCACGTGTGACTGTGCTTTGTTTTGGGTACCAATTACAACCATCAGCCTGTGTTCCTTCTCCTCTGCCATCAGATCCAAACGTTGTCAGGGGCCACAATGTGATAAATGTCATCATTCCCGAGAGCCGGCTGCACTTCTTCCAGCAGCTGGGCTACATCCTGGCAACTCTGCTGCTCTTCATCATCATCCTCATCATTGTGGTGCTCATCACCCGCAAGCGCCGGCAGAGAGGTGAGTGCTGGAAACCACCAGCCCTGGTGGTGCCCTGTTGGGATGGCTTGTGGCAGCAGAGCTGGCTCTGCAATCACTGCACAGCACAGTGCTAAAGGCAGTGGTGCTCTCCTGGAAAGCAGCAACATACACACTGGGGAGGCCTTTGCAGGTGCTGATGCCAAGAGAGATTCATTAGTTTGGTGTAAAAACAACTGCTGAGTAAAGGGAAGGGTGGCATTGGAGCACACCTGAATTCCTGTTCATTGGAGGGGTTGTGGAAGTGACCATCGTGAGCATCACAAATGAGGAGCGTTGTGAAGAAGCCCAGAGTGTTGTGGTTCTCGCTGCTCTGTGGGAGGGCTTGGTTGGGCTGGATACAACCGCTCATTCTGTTTCTTCTCCCTGTTCAGGTTATGAATACAATGTGAAGAAATATGGAGAGTAAGTACAATTACAGCATCTGTTATCTAGGGTTAGAATGTATGAGAATGAACTTTTGGGTTTCAACCCTCAGCTGTCACTTAGAGCCTGAACCAGCTGAGGATCTGGTTAATGGCCATGTAAAGCACAGGCTGTTAGATAGAGTTTATTCATTGCTTTCCCTCAATTCTTTTGCAGCTTTATACTCCAGTTATTATTAGTGTGATGTTCCCAGGAATATATCCTTGCATGATGATTGCATGTTAGGGAGCAATTGCATCTCCTCTTGTTATACTTTGGGAGCTGATTCAGAGATGCTGTTCTGTGATATGTCAGTAGGAGGTAGTGGTGAAGGGGTCATGCACAGATGTACTGTAAACCCTGCTGTGAGATGGTTCCTTTGTGTTTTACTGTATATTGTTAAAGTGGAAGAGATGGGGAAGTTCCAGTGCAGATTGTTCTAAGCTCTGGACAAACACATGGGGAAGGAAGAGCCACAGCCAGAGATCTCGAGGTGCTAATAGAAAAGACAGTAAATGGAAGAGAGAGGAGAACCAGATTCCCTAGTAATAAGGGCAAAGGGAGGAAAAGCACCCATGTACAGTGGTTGCCAGTGCTGTGATCTGTCTGTCATACTTCAGATGAACAGTGTCATTTCAATTCTCTAAAGCAGCATTAGGAATGCTGTTGTGACAAAGTGTGAAAGCAGCCAGTTATTAAAGGATGTGACCGTTCTTCACTGTTATTCCTTTCCAGGAAGGATGTCAATCTGAAAGAGTTTACAGTCGACACAACAGATCTGACTCAATACAGAAGTGAAGACATCAGGCTGGGTATGCACCAACCAGCAGCCGTTCTCCAAACCAGGTCAAAACTGGTTGTAACTGAGGCCCCAGAGGTGTACACAGAAGCTGAAGTAAAGAACAAAGGGATTGCAAAGGGTGGGTTGGAGACCAGGACAGCAGCAAGTCCAAATCCTTCCTTGTGTGTCTCGGGAGAGCCCCCCCCTAGATAAGTTCATCAGTGACCTTCACCTTCCAGCATTGTGTTATATGCTGGAAGACTCTGTGGTACCTGTGAGGAGCAGGAACCTGAAATATGCATAACTGATTAGTGCCAGGGGCAAAATTAAGTCATAGCAGCTTTCCTTTCCCTGCTGAGATCTGGAGATGCCAGACCCAAGAGTACTGCAAGGAAGGACCCATCACCTATCTGCCTTGCCTGTAAAGTGTTGTTTGCTTTTAATGTCCTAATGGCTGTGTGAATTATACTCCTCCTTTACACAGATTACAAAAACAACATCCTGAAGGAGAAGGCTGAGCAAGCCAGAAGCTTCCCAGCAAAGAACATTGATTTAGACAAAGGTAATAACGACTTGCTTCCCCCTAATTGGTGGCTGCAGGAGCCTTCTGATGGGTTGCAGGAGGGAAGAACACAGTTTAGCAGGGAGCTGACCAAGCCACAGCCCAATGAGGAATGATAAACATCATGACAAATGGCAGCAGGAATGAGAAGCTAGTTGCCTTGCTATGCTTTCATCATGGAGCCGCAAGATGCAAGTGGTGATTAGGCTGTTAAAGACTTCTGGCGTGGCACACATGGATTCTTTTCTTTATTGGAAAAAGAATGCCTGGCAGGGCTGGAATAGTGCATTCTGTAACCTCAGAGGGAGGTGTAGCTCAGAAATGTCCTGGCATGGTGTTTGGGATGAAAACACTGTGCAGAAGAGAGTGTTTAGAGCTGAAGTAATTTATGGGTAATGGGCAGGCACTTACTTCATCCAACAATAGCAAACAACTCTCCCTCTCGAGGGGCTGAATCTCCTTTTGCTTATCCAGTATTAATGCTGAGCATTGTGCCTCAGTTTGTAGAGTCATACTTATGGCAAACAGTGCTTCTGAGTTGTTGTTGACTCCTTGTATGAATTTAGAATGTAATAAATGAGACTGAAATGCTATCAAGAAGGGAATGGTCTGGAGAATCCATGGATTGCCTTAGACCCTAATGGAGTTCTCGTGATATTTTTGCCTGTATTTTGCAGAGGTGATCTGTGCAATAGTTTATTCCCAGTAAATCTCACTGTGGGCTTTCCAGAGAGGGTACTGGGGACATGGTTGACTGCACATGGTCACTTGTCACTGTGTGGCTGACTCCGTATTACTGTGTGCTGCTCTGGATGGTTTGAAGTCTCTCTCTCTCCAGTTACTGACCTCCTTTTCATTTGCTTTCAGATTTCAGGAAGGAATACTGTAAATGAAGACATTCCCAAGCTGCTGGCTGGACCAGAAGCTTCAATCAAAGATAGATAAATGGAAGAGAGATGCCTTTTCTCAATATCATGTCTCTCCAGTTACCATAGATCTTTTCACATAGACTTCTCCCCACTAAGCACAAGGGTATTTGCAAATGCTTTTTGAAAGAGTTAGATTGTCTTGTGTGCACTTACGATGGGTTTGGGTTGCCTTTTCTTCTTCTGTTCTCCCAGTCCTCTATTCCCCTTCTTCTTTCCTGATATTATTGTTGGTTTTATGCATCAATGATTTTTATGAGCTGAATCAGCAGACCTTTTGCTTTGATGTTACTGCTTTAAATAAACCAACCTGCATCACTCATCCTGAGCCATCATTATATCAGGCAATTTTCCATGTAGTGTATTCATCAGGAAAATAATAAAGCCTGATTGTGATCTCTCGTAGGGAGGCATAAATCAGTGTCACACAACACTTGATATATTCCAGGTCAAGTACAAAGAGTAGACCCCTTCAATGTAAATACCTTATATTATGAATGGGGAAAAGGGAGGCTCACAGATGACCAAGGGTAGGGTTGGGATCAGCTCCAAAGAGCTCTGGAAGCCTCACTCTGTATTTCTCACTCTAAGCTTGTTTTTGATTTGTTTTTGTTTCAGTGCAAACCCAATCAAATTTGGCAGGAGCAGACACATTCAGCTGAAGGTGATGGAGTTACAGTGCTGTAAAGCCAGTCTCAGTTAGATCAGGACCAGGAATGTTATGGAGAGGGCTAAACTCCTGTGTGGAAATCTGGAATGTGATTTTCCTGCAGTCCTTGGGTGGATCCAGGCCACACAGAGCTTGTGTGCACATCAAAACCAAGGTATGATTACAGCACAGGTAGACAGATAAAAGGAATAGCTTCCCGTGAGCAGACCATAAGGAGCAAGAGTACCAAGACTCTGCACTCAAGAGCCTGTCAGGAATGTTCATGGGCCAGGGTCTCAGGAGGGGAGTTGAGGAGGGAGAGGAATTCCTTCTTATGAATTTTGGCTTGTTTTGGGGAGCAGATACCTGAGATAGTGGGGCTGTGGGCTGAAGGGGAGTTCTACATTTGGACACTGTGTCAGGTGGGGATGTCAATAGATCAGAAGTCAGTAATTCAGTGTTGTAATCCCAGCAAGTTAAAACATCAGGAAAGCTGCAGAATATTAACAGTTCTGCACAGCTCCTCTACTACTTGGGATATTCTGTGGCACTGTTCCCAAACTAGGCACTCCTGTGGTCCTTGGAGCACGGAAGAAAAGCTCTTTCCTACTGTTGATGACAGCGGCTTGTGTTCTTGTTGTGTAAGGGTGAAAGTGGCCAAGGATTGCCACTACCTCTACTCTGGTCTGAGGAGAGTGGCAGAGGGAGGGACCGTGCATGGGCCCTTGACTGAATGGGACTGGGGAAGGTCTCCAGGATGATGTGAGTGGTGGAAGCGTGAAGAGGACCTTGTGTGGAACTACTGTGAGGGTGAGGGAGGACGTGAGGGTGATGGTGTGGCTTCAGTCTTCAAGTGCCTGGTATCTCTGTGGATTTCTTCCTGGGGATGGAAAATCTTTGTAGATGATGAAGTAGCTGTGGTCCAAGGAAAGCATCCCAGTCTAACAGTGGACAATGGGGAATATGACCTGCAGCCTCCTATGTGTCTTGGCTGTTGTTCTTAGACACCTAAATCTCATTTCGGACCCTGTCTCCCTCCTCCCCCAAACACCACTGATCTCAGCTGTTGTGTGACAGGGCTCACTTAGGCTCTTGGCAATGCAGAGGTTTACTAGTGGGTGTGATGGCTGTGAGTTACACTGGAGCTGAGCTCAGCTCCCAGCTCTGTCAGAAGCACGGGGTAAGACCTCCTGTGTACCAGGAGGAACCGAGTTGTCTATTTAGAAGCTGGGATATCAGTCCTGTTCAATGCACACCTTTTATAGGAGTGGAAAACAGACCATGGCATTTTACATAGATATTGATACTTCTGTCTGTGAAAGAATAAATATATTGGGGACCCTTAATTTTAATGCCTTCAAATATTACTAATAGAAAATAACAGGAGAGGTGGAGGTGAGAATTCCTGGGCAGATCCTGATCTTCTAGGCTGCCTTTGGCTGGATGTGATTGAAATCCCAGGCACATTCCTGCAGGTGTGTAAGGCTGCACTGGTTATTCCATCAGGGTGGCACAGTCTCAAGTAATTGTCAGTAATGTCTTTCCCCCTCCCTTTCATGTCTGTGAGTCGAAGGTTAGAGATCTTTACTTGCCAGTTCACATTGCTTAGCACAGCTCATATGGACACCAGCCCCAAGTGGGGTTACTCATAAACTCCAAAGGCATTTCAATATTTGATTTGACTTCTAGGCTGCAAAATAGCTTAAGGGAAAGAAATTAATGTGTTCTCTGAAACAAGTACTAGGAAGAGCTTTATGAGTTCCTCATCCCTGCTTTGATGACTGCTTTGAGTTTGGGTAATGGGCAGACACGCCAGTGTAACCCTAGCCTGGTCAAGATGAGAGTCCAAGCTGAGATTCTGGCCCTTTTTGCTTTGTGTGATTGGAGTGATGATGAGAGCAGTGGGTTTCAGAAGCAGCCTGCCACATCCTGTATGCAATTTAGCATGTTAAAACTGTGGCTGAGAGAGGGCCAGGAGGGCTGCTGGATAGAAGCTGTGGTTCCAAACTGCTGCAAAGAGAGAGGGAGGAAACTGAACACTAAACTGAAGAGTTTTGTGTGTTTATTCCTTAACACAGAGGAAGTGTCAAAGGCTGTTTGCCCTTACATACAGGTGAGAAGCCATTTAGGTCCTTTACATATGCACTTTGTATTCTGTCAGCTCTGGCATTGCCTTGAAGCTGATCTTACGTGAGAACAGAAGACTCGACTTGCAGTTAAGCACTAGATGAGGGCAGGACCCCTCTTTTCTGCTCCCACTCTGCCACAGGCTCAGTGCAAGTCCAGACAGGTTGGTTTTCTCTCCCTTTCTCTCATCTCAGCCTTTCTTTTTCTAGCATGGGTCAGTAACTTGCCTCTCATGGAGAAACAATCCTTAGGTATGTGCAGCACTTTGGTAGATGTGCTTTGAGTTATCCAAAGTCATCTTCTCACCGTGCTAATGGAATGCTACATCTTGATAGACTTCTTTACCCATCACTTTGCAGGCTCTTGGCAGGCTTTGCCTCATTGTGGTCTCCTTGGTTTCCTGAGACATGCATTTTATGTTCAGTTAGTTAAAATACTAAGAACAAGCCCTCATAGTTTCATACCAGTTCCTTCTCAGCGAGTACTCTATGGGCAGAGAAATGGAAGTCTCTATTAGGGTAATGCATGGACTGTAAGCCCTTCTTGTGGGACAAGGAAAGGGTGTGTGGCAGTGACCTTAAAAGGGGTTAAAACTGAGACTAGAACTAGAGCCCCCTCTTTCCAGCCCTGTGCACGCTCTGCTTCCTCTCAAGACTGAGCGGACTTGTTCCATAAGGTTGGGTTTTTGTTGTAATAGAATTAATCCTCATTATTATTGTTACTTAACTTTTACCATTTATCATTGCTGTGTAACTCTCCTGACACTTAAGAAATAAAGGAGAAAGGAGTTTCAAGTTGAGGCTGATTTTTCTTTCTTGCTCTAAGCTATTAGCCAGCATTAGCTCATTCTTCCCGATAGCTGTGCACTGTGTTTCATCTCGGAGCATCCGAAGGTGCTTGACAAAGTGCAGATGGGATGCAGTCAGTTATTCCAGGGATTTCAGTATGGTTTCCACATGGGATGTCATCATGTGCCTTGGTCAGGGGGCTCACAGACAAATTTTACCCTTCTAAAAGTGTCATTTAATGACCAGATCTGCAGCTGTAAATGGAGTTCAGACCATCTATCTGAGATGAAGGCTGGCAGCTCCTTCCTAGCACATCATTCTGCAGGCCCAGAATGAAAGATAACACATCCTGCTGGAATAGTTAACTGCGCAGCCCAAATTCCTCTTTTCCTTGCAGAACTAACACCTTGCTGCACATTCTGCTCTTGGAGGGCTTCCACCCACTAAGTAGTATCCCAGGTGGCATGACAGAGTTCTTCCAGGGACATGGGTGGAAACAGCTTGTGTTGCTGCTTGGATGGAAACTGCAGGCTGCAGGTGCAATCAGAGCAGGTTACAAAAGTAAGAAGTGGCAAAGAACTGCATTTAGCAAGCTGAGATTACCAACCAGCTTGTCTAGCTCTGCAGAAAGTAGCATTTTCTCTCTTACCTGGTTGGAAATCATACTACAACTGGTCTCCGGCCACTTCATACCACCTCCATGCTGTGGAGGCTGCTTGTGTTTTCTTAGATACCAAAGGGGGGAAAAAGAAAGAAAAACAGGTTAAAAGGGTTGGAGTTAAACACTGAGAAGTGCATGGGGAGTAGTTCCTTCTCCTTGGGCTCTTCTGAGAACGAATGATAGGTTCTTGAGCAGATGGGGCCATATACAATGAAGATCTCATCCAAAGGACCCTTTACTGTTACTGTGGTGGGACCTTACTGGTCAGCCACTGCTATAACCTCTAAGTGAGACTCGGTTGCGGTGAGGAGAAGCCAAAGGAGAACTAGCAGAAAAGATCCTCTGGGCAAAGTGAGGTCATCCTGGAGCTGGTGCCAGTCCCACTGGGAACATCTGATGCAACAGCGTTTTTCTGAGGTTTAAACCTTAGAAAAGGTGGTTCCATCAGAACCACCCTGATGCCACTCAGTGATTCGAAGTGCTCAACCCCTTGCCTTTTGCAATACATCTCCCATCTCTCCAGACTCATCTCCACTGTTTTGATTGTTGCTTTGAAGTAGGGGTGAGTGCCAAGACAGAAGTTAGGAGCATTTCTGCAGCAGGATTAGGGAGGTTGATGCCATTCTGTATGAGTATCGGATTTGCACTTGAGATTTGCTGTTGCTGGGAGACCTTGAAAGGACAGGAACATTGTG